CCCTAGGGTTTCTTGGAAAAAGCCATGTCCGTGCAGTTCGTTCGCATATATATATACCCCTCAGTCTGACTGAGTCTTGAGATCGGTCAAGTATCTGACTCCCGACGCGGGACAGTCAAGACAATAACCACATGGTAGATTTTCCCGGCTGGCCGGCAAAATTGAATTCTATAGAACCCCAAAAAAACATGCGGACAAACACTTCAAGGTTAACCTTTTTCCACCTGTTCCATCTCGTTTTGAGTGGGGAGCCCCCCAAAAAGGTTAAAGGTCATCCAGCGGCTTGCTAGGAAACTGTCGTTTGGTCTATGAGAACCCCCCCGGTCTCAGGCGCGTTCGTGGGATGTCGATCTCCATGAATCTCGGATCCAATGCCACCCTCTGAGAGGTGTGAAGGTTGAGATACTCTTTTCGGGTCACTGAACACTCCGCCCTCTTCGATCCTTTTAGCCCGTCTCCCGGCGATGGAGCCCCCGAAACCCTCCAATCCTCGTTTTCGGTGCCGAATTGGATCAAGGGGTCGGAATCCGAAAAGAACCGCCCCAAGGCCAGAAAGTGACAGAAAGAAACCGCACTAAGAAGGCCGAAAGAGCACTCCCCTTGTTGTTCCGCATGTTTGAGAAGAAAAACACCTCGCTGTTTGGCCACAGTTTCTGGGAGTGTGTTAGGGTGGAGAGCACTCCAAAGCGGGAACACCGATCTGACGGGCCTGGATGGCTCGAAGTGCCTTGGAGGCCGTCTGTTTCGACCATGAACGGTGTGTGTGTGTGTGTGTGTAGGGAGGCACCCCTAAGGTACACTCTTGATTCATCAAGCCCATTTGGATTGTGGAACCTTCTCTGCTCCCATCTGATTGTCTCAAATGTTCAGGTCGACATCTTGTTAGATACTTTTGTACGTTGAACCGGCCTGGCTCGCACTTTTGGAGAAGTGGAACGTCCCAATATATCTAGCGAAGAACACTCCCCTACAACTGCGGGTGTCAAAACATAAGGTTTTTGAATGTTTTTGATGGTTTTTGCTGCTGCGCCCTTCGTGGCTAATTGGGCAATATACTGAGAAAAAAGTCACCTGTTGCTGGTGATTGTCAGGAAGATGAGTGTAGCCCATGTCTGGAACTGGAACTGCCTTCCTCTCAAACCCGTGTTCCAATCCCAAAGCAGGGCCGCTTTGGGAAACCCCCTGCTTCATCCTCGTTTTCGCCAGCGGTCGTGTTGCCGGAACCGGCACGAGAGCTCTTCTCTCATCCACGAAACTACTGCGGATGCCGAGGCCAAGTCCATGGGAGCGCAGCCTGCGTCAAACGAACAGACTGGCTGACTGGCACCGACGGCCACCTGTCCAGCTCGACGGCTCGACGGCCGCAAGCTTCAAGCTTCAAGAGTTGGGTGGACCGAGGAGCTCAGCAGATCTCCTTCAAAAGCTTCTCTCCACACTGCGTGGCCAAGGTGACGAGGTCCACCTCTGTCCTTGGGCGGATCGACGCATGCCACCGAGTCGACGAGGTCCGTGCGGGTTCCCATCACTCGGAGGAAGCCATTCGGTGGTGTTCACTCCACGTGAGTCCATGGATTCATGTAAGTCAGCTGGGTTCGCTGGGCCAGTTGGGCTATCTTGATCGATCTCGCGTCAGGGTGGACACCGACCTCGGCAGTTTGGGGGAACTCACGAAGTGCCTCCTCCAAGCCATGAGGGGCATCAAAAGGATCTGGCAGATCTGTTGGACTCTTAAGCCGAAAGAAAGGGGGCGAAGAGCTCGCAACTCCGGAATTGGCTCTATGATTTGAGATGTGGCACTGTGACCAATCCGGAGGGCATCCCACCGGCCAGTGAATTGCCGATGGACTCTTCTCTGCAGTCTTCCCCGATCCATCTTCTCACAAGAGAGGGTCCAAAGGACAGGAAGGATGCCCAACATACGATCCCAACGGATGCTCAAGCCGTGATGAATGGTGTGTGTGTGTGTGACCCCTGTTTTCACATGAGCCATTAATCTGCCAAAGGATCCTGGGTGAGGGGTGAGGGGTAGGTTTCGACCAAAACATGCATGATGACTCATCCCAAACAACCATCCGGACCATCCACCCCAGAATTCCTGGCTGAAATCCGGCAAGCTCTTATTGTCTTCAAGCAAAAAAAGAGACATTGACCCCTTTGAGAATTTCATGTTGTGGGGACTCATCATCTGATCCGGGCATCCCCTTGCATTGTGAGCTCACACAGTCATCTTTCTTCTTCTTGGACTTGGTCCACGGCTCTGTCACCCACTCCTGGAACCGGCGAACACAGCGGGGGGGCCATCCGAGTGACCTGGCAAACGCAGGAAAACCGTTCACATCTGGTGGTGCGTGTCATACAGGAGAAAAACCCATAAGTTCACACCTTGTAGAAAACCAATGAGTTCACTTTCCTTCGTGTGAGTCATCCTTTCGCTTTCTTTCTGAGTCGACACTTCGAAACAACACTCAACTCCCGTGCATCTGCGGTGCATGATGGAAATTCCTTGATGTCAAGACCCGTCAAGATCCCTCAAGATCCGTTGACACCATCCTTCCATGAAGAAACTCATCCTGCCTTCCATGACTCCCATCGTGTTTCTTCCGCGCCTGCAAGCTGGGCACCCCTTCTGGTGAGCCTTCCCTTGGGCCATTGGTGCCCGCAGTACTCCACGAGCTGCCGAAGGTATGGTGCTCACCTGGCGGTGGGTCAAAACCGCCCGAAATCCTGGTAGTTGGACCGGCCTTGTACTCCTTGTAGTCTATTTTGTTCCTTTTGTATGGGAAAAACCAACTGTCTCCCGGTCTTGACCCATAGGCACCTGAGGAAAACAGAGGTGGAATCACAGAATCCCATCACCTGAGGCAGACATATCCCTAGGGCTCCAACCATATCCTCAGAAGGAAGAGGGTAGAACCCCCTGACACTCATCCCAACCATCTTCGAAAGGGAGGTAGTTGGAGCCCCAAAAAGGGTAAATAACAAACCGACCCCATGTCGGTCAGCGCCATGCTATGGTCGTTGGAGCCCTTCGTGCCATGCGGGCTCCCGTTTTCCTCCGATCAAATCGACCACCGGCCCCAGCTGTGCTGATCGAGCGCCATCCACGAGGAAGCTGATGTAGTTAGGGTACTTGTTGTACTCCTGAAGCAAGATCTTTTTCACGCCAAAGCCATGGAAAAGCACGCGCGCAAGCGCTTTACGCGCACGCACACACAAAAAGCTGTTCGTGAACAGCAACAATTTTTGCACGCGGTACTCCTCGAAAATCAGGTTCGTAGCAGCATAGAAGGTGTCCCCGTCCAGTGGAGGAATGGCCTTCTGGAAAGTTATTGCGACTAGGTCGAAGAACTTCCGCTGCTCCTTGTCTTCCTGGCCACCATCGAACTTGGATCCGGGATGTCTTCGTTTCGGAGAAGAAAAATACCATCGAAGGACTAGAAAAACACCCCTCATGAAACCGGAAAGAGACAGAAACAAGAAGGTGGGAATGTCCTCATACAAACCAGCCAGTGCCCCCCCCAAACTCGGGAGTGTCGATGAATAGCCCCCGAGGTTGGTGTCATGGGGGTATCAAATTATACCACCCAACTCCAACTCCCGTCCTACATCAACGAGTCTCCCTGCTCACCTTCTCAGAGGGTATGTGGATTCAATAGGGTTCAAATCTGGGAGTACACTCCTGAAATAATCATGGAAGTGGAAAACCACCTGTTTGTAAGGCAGGAAAATTATCATTTGGCACTTCCATGATTATTCCAGGGAATGTAAAACCAATCATGGTTCTTCAGGATGTGTTTAATTGACTGTCTTTATGAAAAAGAACATCAGTCTTGCCCTTGGCCTTCCGCCAGCGTCGATGTTTTCCTGTGTTGTTTTCTTTGTGGGGATAAGAAACAGTTTTGGGCCCCATCCATCAAAGCTAGCGGCTAGCGTTTTGAAGAACCCTCCAGTGCTTTGAGGAATCCCACTGTTTTGAAGAACCAGTGAATCAACACCAACACAAACCATTGCCACAGCCAGCAGCCGCAGCAGTACGCAACAGCACGCCCACACAGTCCTTGCTTTCGATTTGACCATAGATCACCTCACTCGAGATCGGAGATCACAGCGGCCAGAAAACACATTTTGGATGACGCTCTCAAAACAGCTTTGCAACCCGGTCTATTCTTGTTCCCTTGCATCTATCGGGCGTTCGGTCCCTTTGGGAACGGAGGTTTTTCATGGTTTTGGTGCGCCTGGATGTCCCAAGAAGACTGAAGAACTCCAGAGTCACGCAGTTGATGGAAAATCCTAAAAAACATGTGGAACACTCCAAGAACAGTGACCAGGAACAGGTTCTCTTAATTCTGTTGGTATGATCCTCCTGGAACCCTCCGAAAAAACATACCCAAGTGACTCCCCGCCCCGCCCGGCCGCTCCAGCCTTGGTATTGGCTGCCATCGTTGAGGTCACCACCATGGGCACGGTAATGCTGCCCAGCACGCAGGCGTCCTGTGACTTCACGTGGCAGATGGGGAAGCATGAGCGTTGAAGATTCAGGACACGGTGGGAAGCAAATGCACAGCAGTGAAGAAAACATATCTAGCACTTCCACAGGGTGCCCAATGGAGACCTACAAGATCCTATCAGTAGTGTAGGACTGTCCCATGGATGGATGGCACAAAAAATCAAAAATCAAGCCCAAGAAAAGATGTCCCCAGCAGTCGGGCGTGAATTCGCCTACTTGACAACGGCAACATCCAAAGTTCACCAACAAGCGGCGTGTCTTTGCCGCGCAATGGTGTTTCGAAACACGTGGCCCTTTTCAGTGTGCCGTGCAATCATCACCACATGGCAATTTTGTGCGCCCGCATATTTGCAAGCATGACAGTGCTGCAACAAGGAAGAACCATGGAACCTACTCCGGAACCCACCATGACCTGACCTCAGCATCCCAGCATGCCAAGGGTCTCGCCTGAGAGTCAGCACGCTAGCATGACCCGTGTCAGTGTGCCAGCATGACAACATGACAGCACGACAGCCTGAGAACACATTGGCATGACAGCCGGCACGTACAACATGTTTGCATGTCTACATGTCCCATGAAAACGCTATATACAACATGCCATCATGACACGACGCCTGCATATAGCGTGATAACCCTTCAGCATGCTAGCATGTCAAGCAAAAAACAGCACGCACACGTGACAGCATGTTTGCCAGTCAGCATGACAGAGCACCATGTGAGCATATGGTGGCCTGACGGAATGCCTGAACATCAGCATGACACCATGCGAGCAGACTTTGGGTAAACATGCAGATTTTAGAGAAATGCGCAGGAGTTTCAATTTTGGCCATTTTGGCTGAAACTTTCATCACTTTGCGAAGTGCCCCACCCGCTTTGTTGGTTGTGGTGGGAATCTGCTTTAGCAGGACGTGCCAATGTTGGCATAGCCATGGCTTATCATATCTTGTCAATTATACGTGCCGTGTGCAAATGCACCCCTATCAGCCCCCATCGGTTCAATCATCCCGGACAACCAAGGATCGGGTAAAAGCCTTCCCGACCCAAATCAACAAAGCGGCTGGCTATGTGGATTGTGCTAGTGCACTGGGTGGGATTTCCTCTTCTGGGTTGATCCTGACCAGAAGTGCCTCGCACTCCTCCTGTCCTGAGTCCGCACCCCACCTGCAAGATCACCGTGGCATGGTTGACATGTTCCTCACACCACTTGTCCCACACATCTCGGGTTGGCAGCCGTGGGATTTATTGGTCGTCACGGCCAAACATGAGGATACTCGGCCTCATCGCCCTTGCAATCTCGGCACAATCTGAGCTGCCCGCTGCATGGCCCATGGTCAAATCTGAGTAAACTGCGAGTACAGTAAGTGGGACAGCTGAGCAATCTCAGGCATGACGGAATTTCAGCACTGCACCATGACGATGTCAGCATATTTGCAAATCTGCTGCGAAGCTTGGGCCGGCACCCGGACTTGCCCCAGAACTTGACTCGGAAACTTGTTCGAAAGCTCCGGAACTTCGTCTGGGACATGCTCTGGAGCTTGCTCCTGAACCTGCTCCGGAACCCGCTTCCAATCTGCTCAGAAATCTGCTCCGGAACCAGTGCCCCTCCGGAATTTGTGCAACGGCTCCGGCACCTGTTGCTCCGGAACATGCTCCCAAACCTGTGCCGGAACCCTGCTCTGACCTAGCTGGTGTTCCGGAACTGCTACTGGTTCGGAGCCGGAACTTGCTCCGAAGTCTTTACTACGAGTATGGCTGAAGATCCCCAAGCTTCGCTGTTGGGGAATAATCAACATATCCAGCGCTTCCTGTCTGGGTCTCCCATGGAGACCAAAACACAGTGAGCTGGGTTGTAGTCCACCCAGGTGACCCAGTGTGGAAGCAGCTGAGGAAAAGAGTGCACAAAAATGAACCAAGGCCATCCGAATCATGCGACCTGACGAAGGCTGCCCAGGTGTCTCCTGAATCTTTGGTGTGAAAACAGGCACCGTGCAACTCTGCCATCCTCAAACCGGTTTGCTGCTGCGGCGGTGGCGTGGATCAAAACCCATCTTCCACCCCTGGTGGTAGACCCAGGGTGCTCAGGAGATGAATTCGAGCGTCAGACATCTTTGGGGGATCAAGATTGCTGTGGCCCATTACGACCATTGCCCTGTTGGTCTTGGCGAGATCTGCACGGTCAAAGCAGCCGCGTTTTCAGACCAGGAGTACATGTGTCCAATGGATAGATATACCAGCACCCTCCAAGGGGTGTTGATGAATAGCCCTTAGAGGTTAAGGGGCTATTCATAACACCCCTCTCTAAGGGTGCCAATATAGAGCTGCGAACAATGTAAACCGGCCAAAGCATCCACTTAAACCCCTCCGAAGAAAAGGAGCAAAGGAGCAGGTTGTAAATGTGTCTCATTTGGGATCCCAACTAGTGAGCCAATTCCCTACTGCAACAAGTTCTTGGGGTGGGAGTTCACTCTTGGGGCCAAGTGATTACCCAAAATCATACTTGCTTGGTGGGTTAGATGCTTGGTGGGCGCCGAAATTTCAGCCTCCAGACGTGGCAGGGTTCCTTCCTTCCATTCTCGATTCATGTGTTTGCTCATGTGGCTGAATCTAGCTTAGCAACCCCTACTTGCAGAAGCAATATAAAATATCGTTCAGCACCCTAATATATCCTAATATGAGTTGTGGTGTTGAGGGGGTTACTTCCATTCGTGAGACGTTTGTAGTCCCATCATCAGATACTTTTGCCGTTCGCAGATACTGTACCTATCAAAAAGACAGGCCAACGAATGCGGTCGTGGAAAACTTGCTGGAAATCCTGATTTTTGGCCTGGCACTGTTTGCCTCTTTCTCTCTTTGCCCATCTCCTCTACTTTCAACCGCCCAATTCTGCCAAAGAAGGCACCCTGAAGGATGGGCCCTTCGGTCTTCTCGGGGAAGTAGCCCGCATAGGAGTCGGCCAGGACCATCGCATGGTGATGCGGAAGGGCCTCCAGGATCCGTTGCGACCAAAACTGCGCACCCAGGGCACCTGGCCGGTCGGACAAGGAGGCGAAGGCGAGGAGGCGATGTTCAGAAGCACGTGAAGGAGCTGTTGGGTTGATGGGCTACAGAGAGTGAGTGCACATGCTGTGTGAACCGATTGTTGCCCACATGTAGCAGAAATGGAAAAAAGACACGCCAAAGCTGCCTGGTGGAGGAAAGACACTGAAAAGGACATCCGTTTTTGTTCATGGAAGCTCAAAACAACGAAGCTGACCCCCCCCCCGCAGCACAACGGGTCAGCTCACTGCCTGCCACGAAAGAAAAAAACCGATGTACGCCTCTTGGACGCGGGAACGGCGAACGCAATGGCGCACGGCGAACGCACGGTCCGCCTGCTGAGGAGCCCATGATGAGTAAGGAGTGCAACGACCCCACGTTGCTGGCGGAGCAGGCAGAGCGGTCCACCGCTGGCGGTGACCGGTTGACCGAAAGCGAACGCTCAAAGCTCGGCACAACGGCCCGCTTGAATCAGCGAGTAGTACGTACAACCACAAAGAAAAGGTACCAGGGGATGATCCGGGTGTCCAAAGGAAGCCTAGTCTAGTGCAAAGTGTAGTTTTGCTTGAGAGTGGGAAGGACTTTCCGGGCTGGTGCTGTTGGCCTTGCCACAGGGCTCGGCCTGGTTCAGCCTTGCGGGTTTGGGGTAAGCAAGTCCCTTGCATGTAGCAGTGAAACCCGATCGTCTTCTGTGTGGCCCCCAATGCACATGCCTAGAGGTGAGTTCACTTCAGTGGAACCTTGTCACCTCGGCTGGAAAAAATAAAAAAAACACGTCAAAACCACCTCCTGCTTGATGTTTTGTTCCCTTCCGGTTCAGACGAACACCTCAACCCGCCGGCAACCCCCGTTCCGACCCGCCTAGCCACCCAGTCGAGTGCAGCTTGAGTGTTCTGGTAGCCCCGCTGTGGCACAGCACCCACCACATCACCCACGTGCAAATCGCCAGAGCAGTAGAGGACTTCCACCATGGTCCAAGTGCGGAAGGGGTTCCTTGAGTTCTGTTCTCAGCATCATGCGAGCATCGGCAGTGATGCTCGCATCGGCAGATGATATGATTCAATTACACTGGCATAGACACCAAATAGCAACTAACTCAAACGGAAGCACATCTTTTCCTCTGAGCCCAGCGAGCCCAGCTGAGAAAAGTGGAGAGACAACTCAGCGGGTCAGTGCCGAACGGTACCATATGGCCGGACTTGGGAGAAACACCACCGAGTTCGGGTATCGCCAGGTCATGTGTACTCCTACGCTCGACTCTAGACCTCAAAAAATAGGTCGAAAGTATTCGAACCCCCCAGTGCGTCAGGGGCAGATTGAACCATTTAACCAGAACCTGAGTGCCACTCACCTTTGCCGTGATGTTTTTTAACACATTTTTGGGCGTGTGGGAGAACCCACCCTAGTCCCACATGGCTCTGCCCCTGCAAAGAGTGCCTGTGAGCGTACATGTTTGGAAATCTATATAATTCCGAGGAATCTTAATAAACGCTGCGCTCTCTCCTCTTGTGCGCTGCTGACGTGTATTCCGTCGGCTTCTGCTTGGATTGTATTACGCTAGAGAAAAAGGTAAAGTGAATTGTTTATCGAAGTCTATTAACAACCGTGTCGTACCCAGACTATTCACTTAAGGACCCTACCCTCACACAAAAAGAACGCCAGAAAATCCAAGGGCACTGCAACAGGCTCTCAAACTGGCAAGGCGCTGGCTGTCGTCAGAGTTGAAGATCCCACGGTTATGCAGCAGACCCGAAACTTTCTTCGAATAGCTGATGTCCTTGGTCATACGATCAGAGAGGGCTCTAGACTCACTTGGGACACTTTCGGGGAGCCCCAGACGCGGCGGCATGACCGGTCACCTCGGAGCATGAGGGCTCTACTACTCTGCTTGAGGATGGGGTCCAAGTCTCACCGGTGGTCCCCGGGTCCGTCACCGGTATAGAGGACTTTCCGAGTGGCCTTTGGTCCAGCACGCAAGTGAAGTCGCAGACGTGGAACGTTGAGACACTGAACTAAAAACCGCAGTTTTCTGTGCCACACATCTCCCTTCTACCCGTCTGATCCAACAGAAACGGTCCCTCTCTTCGGCAGAATACACCTGTCCCCTGGCCCGTGGGCCGCACTTCCACCGCTTCCACCACCGCTTCCCAGCTCCCCCAGACCTTCGGGTCTCTTCAGAGACGTCCAAGACACCATCGTGCAGACCCTCCGCTCATAGCTGATGGGATCCCAACAGGCGCCGCCGCCTTCGTCGCGGCGTTTCGTCGCGGGCTCGGTGGAGGGACCAAGCACCGTGCTTTGGGGCGTCCTTGGGCTTTTGGGTGCCTTTGGGGTGGGTTTGGCTTCAGGTCCACCGGTGGATTGGGTGGGTCGGGTGCCGATTTCGGGTGCCGTCTTCAGTTCTAAAGAGCTCCTCCAGAGTACAAATTGAGAGGTCACATGGTTCTTCCTGTTTTCAAGGGATCAACGTGGAGTGATCACGAACGTGATGCGCCAGGAGTTCTGGAGTACTGAGGATTCCACAGGCGCCTTTTGAAACCCAAAGCCCATCCCTCCCCTTCTCTCTGGCTTGGAGGTGGCAAAAAACCCTTCCCTCCCCTTCCCCCTGCCGCTGTCCCAGCCTTGAAGGAAGAAAACAAGCTTCTCAGGATCCCCTTTTCTCACTACAAACTCATAGGCACCCTCCTGCGGATGCATACCTTGGACGCACGAACTGAAGGAACAAAAGCACACGGCCTCTTCGGTAGCCCCACCGTCTGGTGGAAACACGAACACCGTGGCGGCCAAAAGGTATGTCGTTTTTTGGTTCGCCGAAGCCCAGGCACCGAAACGCAATTCAGGATCTGTTTAGGAGCTAAAAGCTGGCGTACGCAAAGAAAAGCGGCACCTTGCAACCTGCTTACAAATATTGAATGTACGTATGTAAAACGATTGCAAATATATATATAGAGAGAGAGAGAGATTTCCTACTTTTTGCTTACACAGCACGATCTCGAAAATCTGCCTTACGCGAGTTTCCACGACTCTTTCACGAGGGTTTTGACCCAGCACTGTCAAACTCCCTCCACGACTTCTGGACGGACGGGCGAACTTTGCTGAGCAGCTGTATGACCCCCACGACCCGCATACTCAAAAAAAAGGGTGGTTGACTCTCTTAAAGAGCTTCCTGCAAGCCCAGGAAAAATGTGTCTGGCGAAGTACGCCAACAAAGACCCCCGATAGTAAAAATGTTTGTGGGCAGCATCACTAGCACCCACCACTGCCATAAACATCTGGCTGCGGCACCCTGCAGCGGCCTGCGGCCTCCAGCGACACCAACACGCAGGCTCCAAAGCTCAAACAACCATTAGATATCTGGCAGCAACACCCTGCAACGGCACCCGTTATGGCACCTTGCATTGGCACCGACACCACCAGGCTCCAAAGCGCATGGCACAGACATGTCAATGTGGCCGGCACCCTGCAGCGGCAAGAGCATCCAAGCTCCAAAGCGCCACACACCCTGCAGCCACATTTGGCAACCACACCCTGCAGGCAACACATTGGCAACACGCAGGCTCCAAGCCGCACGCTATGCCTGTACATTGTTGTCAGAACCCCAACCGCTCTTGCTACCTTGGAGAAAAAGCTGCATTCCAGACGTCATGTCCATCTTATCTTCTATGACCAGGATGACCTTTTTCAAGTTGACGATCTACAAAATTGATTGCATGTTCATGCACCCTGCAGCGGCAGGGTGCAGCGGCACCAGCACCCCAAGCGCCAAGGCGCACACAGCCATAGACATCTCACAGCAGATTCCAAAGCGCAAACAGCCATAACCCATACCGTGTCGCTCCAAGGCGCGATCAATCGGCCCCAAATGCCGTCCAAAGGGCAGGTGGTCTTTCCCCCTGGCTGGATCAGCGTCGTCGACTCCAAGGAGCGCCTGGGATGGGCCGACTCCGACTGGAAGAACACTTGTTCCTAGTAGCGATGCACTTGTTCCTAGTAGCGATGCACTTGTTCCTAGTAGCGATGCACTTGTTCCTAGTAGCGATGCACTTGTT